CCAAAATCGGAGAAAACTGTTTATTATTGTTTACCAAAATCGGAGAAAATTGTTTATTGCGATTCTCCAAAATCGGAGAAAATTGTGTACAGTAGTTCTCCAAAATCGGCGAAAATTGTCTGTTGTAGTTCTCCAAAATCGTAGAAAACTGTTTATTATTGTTTACCAAAATCGGAGAAAATTGTGTATGGTAGTTCTCCAAAATTGGAGAAAACTGTTTATTGTAGTTCTCCAAAATCGAAGAAAATTGCCCAACAAGTGTTTATAAACATGAATTTTCTCTAAATTCAGAGAGAATTGTCTACAGTTCTTCAAAATCGGAGAAAATCGCCTAATGATCCCGCAAATTTGGAGAAAATTGGCACTACCAAAATTTTCAAATTTGGAGAAAGCTTCATTCAAAATTTTCCGAAACAGGTGGGGGGGGACCCCCCTAATCCCCCCCCCCCCGGTCGCGCCGTCCCTGAGAATTACATATGTGGTTAATTATTAAAGAAATTCTTACTTACATCAGTTTTCTTATAATTCTTTGTCTTATAACATATTCAAATCATAATCAAAATTCTTTTCTTCGAAATAATCATTTAAAAAAAATCTTTTTAATTCAGGCAAGTGAATAATGATTATACAAAGGTTTGAATTTCTTTGATAAAAATGAAAAATGTATTTACTTTTTTTTAATAAATAGATTTCAACAATAAATCAATATTGGACATGGCTAGAAAATAGTTTTCTTTCAAATATTCATTGCCAACAATGGTATAATGACGAATCACCTCATAATCTGAATGGTTTCAACTACGTCTTGTTATTACACCACTTACTGACAGGTTAATTAAGAATAAAATTATATTTTTTATTTCATATTTTTGTTTATAAATGTTATATTATATGAACACAATCATTTCATTTAATTATGGGTGATGCATCTACTGGACCGGGTAAGAAATTTTTATTTATTGTAATTATGATAAGATTGTTTGCTTTTGTCTTTAGCTGGAACAGGAAAAATTGAAACAACAAAAGATTTAGGACGAGCATTAGATGTAATGGTTTATGTATATAATTGTTCTGAACAAATGGATTATCAATCATTGGAAATATTTATAAAGGATTATCACCAACAGATGCATGAAGATGTTTTGATGAATTCAATCGTATTTCCATTGAAGTACTTTCTGTAAGTTTAAAAATTCTATTACATAAATTTGTTTGCAAAATATTTCAATAGGTCGTTTCTGTACAAGTAAAAACAATTCAAGATGCAATTCGTGATCGAAAACAACGATTTAATTTTATGGGTACTGAAATTAGTCTTAATCAAAATGTTGGTCTTTTTATTACAATGAATCCTGGTTATGCTGGTCGAACAGAATTACCTGGAAATTTAAAAGCATTATTTCGTCCATGTGCTATGGTTGTACCAGATATTGAAATGATTTGTGAAATAATGCTTGTTACATCTGATTTTAAAGATGGAAAATTATTATCATGTAAATTTATAACATTATATAATTTATGTAAAGAACTTTTATCAAAACAACATCATTATGATTGGAGTTTACGAGCTGTTAAATCAGTTTTAGTTGTTGCTAGTGCGTTACGTCGTGCTGACCCAAATCGATCTGAACGAGAATTTTTAATGAGAGCATTACGTAATTTTAATATACCAAAAATTGTTCATAATAATTTACCAATATTCATGGGTTTTCTTGGAGATTTATTTCCTGCACTTGATGTTCCATGTAAACATGATTTAAAATTTGAAGAAGAAGTTAAACGTGCTGCATTAGATCTTAAACTTCAATCTAAAGATGCATTTATTCTTAAAGTTGTTCAATTGAAAGAACTTTTTGAAGTTCGTAATCCGGTATTTATTGTTGGTAATGCTGGAACAGGAAAAAGTCAAATATGGAAAACACTTAATCGAATGTATATAAATCATAAACGACGATCTGTTGCAATTGATCTTGATCCAAAAGCTGTTACAAATAATGAATTATTTGGTTTTATAAATCCAGCAACACGTGAATGGAAAGATGGATTATTTTCAACAATAATGAGAGATCTTGCAAATATGACACATGATGGTCCAAAACGGATTGTGCTTGATGGTGATATTGATCCAATGTGGATTGAATCATTAAATACAGTTATGGATGATAATAAAGTTTTAACATTAGCAAGTAATGAACGTATTCCATTAAATTCAACCATGCGTTTATTATGTGAAATAAGTCATTTAAGAACGGCAACATCAGCAATTGTATCACGTGCTGGTAGTCTTTATATTAATCCACAAGATCTTGGATGGAAACCACAAGTAGCTACATGGATTGAATCTCGTCCTATTCAAAGTGAACGTGCTAATCTTCAAATATTATTTGATAAATATTTACCAACATGTATAGAAATGTTAAAATCAAATCATTTTAAAAAAACTACACCACTTGTTGATGGTTGTCATGTATGGATGTTATGTCATTAACTTGAATGTTTATTTGTACCAGAAAATTGTCCACCATATTGTGCAAAAGACCTTCATGAACAATATTTTGTTTTGGCTTGTATCTGGTCGATGGGAGCATCTTTATTTCAAGATCAGGTAAATATTTTTTAAATAAAAAACCTATCTTGTTTAATATATAAAAAATAAATTAGTATACAGCTTATCATAGTGATGTGAGTAATTGCTATCCCTATATCAGCTTTGATTATAAATGTTATCAAAAATTCTTGTTGTATTAAATATGATTTTATATAAAAGGATTGATTGTTTAAGAGTTTTATTAAAAATTAAAAATTAAATATTTTTTTTTCTCTTCTGTTTGAATAGTTAACAGATCATTGTGTGGAATTTTCACGTTGATGGACATTGGAATTTAAACCTGTAAAATTTCCGACGACTGCAAATACAACTGTATTTGATTATTATATTGATCCTGAAACAAAAAAATTTGAATTATGGAGTAAAAATGTTCCGAAATTTGAACTTGATCCTGATGTTCCTTTACAAGCAGCATTAGTACCAACACGAGAAACTGTTAGAGTTCGATATTGGATGGGTATATTAAGTCAATATATACTCAAATTTTATTTCATTTGATTTATTTCATAAATTTTTTTAATGGAATGAGGTTATCCAGAAATGTTAGTCGGTGGTGCTGGTAGTGGTAAAACTGTTATTGTTAATGATAAATTACACTCATTAAATAATGAATTATGGACAATTGTTAATGTACCATTTAACTATTATACATCATCAGAAATGCTTCAATCAATATTAGAAAAACCACTTGAACGTAAAGCAGATTGAAATTATGGTCCACTAGGAAATAAATGACTTGTTTATTTCATTGGTAAATCAATTCATAAGAGTTAAATTTCATTTAGTTGATTTTTATTCTGTAGATGATATGAATATGCCTGGAATCGATAAATATTATACTGTTCAAGCATATACTGTTCTTCGTCAATATCTTGATAATAAACATTGCTATTATCGACAAAAATTAACATTACGTGATATACATAATTGTCAATATGTTGCATGTATGAATCCAACAGCAAGAAATTTTACAATTGATTCACGTATTCAAAGATATTTTGCTGTTTTTGCTGTTTCATTTCCTGGACAAGTATAAAACTATAAAAATCTAATTATTTCAAATATTCTTCCCTTTCATTTTTAAGGATTCATTACGAACAATTTATAATAGTATATTATCTCAACATTTACCTGCATCGCCAAATGCACTATTTACACAAGCTGTACATCAACGTGTTTCAGCAACATTTCTACCAACAGCTATTAAATTTCATTATATATTTAACTTAAGAGATCTTTCAAATATTTTTCAAGTAAAAATTTTAATTGAATTTTTTGTGAAATGATGATAAAATTTTTAATCTAGAGTATTCTATTTGCTACTGGTGAATGTGTTAAAACAACAAAAGATCTTGTTCGTCTTTATGTTCATGAAGCTGAACGTGTCTATGGTGATAAATTAGTCTCTACTGATCTCTTCTTCTTTCCCTTTTTTCGAAGAAAAACAGTTGTTTTTAGACACACGAGAGAATAGAATCGAACAGACGACAAAGAAAAGAAGACAAGAGAAAATAAAGTTCCAATTTCACTTCTTCTATCTCATTCCAACTGTCCAATACGCAAGAGAAAGAGAACAACAGAGTTGATAAATTATACAGTTTGTCGAGGAAGGGAACTGACGATGTGCTGTAACAAACAGAAAAGAGACAACAACGAGCCAGTACAGAATCGAAAGGCCAACGAGTGCCTTTGTCGAAAGATGAATGCACACAAAAATAAATCTGTTAGAGCTGCTCTCTAATAAAATAAAATCAGATCGAATGTATATAATCAATATTAAAAAAATCATTGAATACTTAATGTATGAAAATGGAAAATGATTCACATGGGAAAACATCGAAAGGGAACTGTCCAAATTTTTTGAAGAATTATATATGCAAACACGTTGTGGGTATGGGTATTGATTTGAAATATTGTAAACCAAGAGTAGCAACAAAGACAGTGCCGACCGGTGAGAAAAGAAAAAGAGATAGACCAGCACAGGTAGATCTGCTTTACTAATACAATAATTCAATTTTTGCTTTTTTTTATTATTTTTTAAATTTCTTCTGATATATTCTGTAGTTCTTTAATTTATTTAAATTTATTTTCTATGGGTACAGCTTATTTTTCTACTGGTATTTGTTGTATTTTATACTGATATAAATTGAAATTTTGTTACTGATACTGATATTTAATAAGCTGGCCATTTTACAATTAATTGCTGATAATTTTAGTATTGACTATTTAATATTGATACTGACCATTTAAATGGTAGCCATTGTAAATTAGTGTCATCAATATTTGTTTGAAGAGCGTCAAACTAGAGGCTTTAATGCTGCATTGTATTTGTGTTGGATGGACAAAGGTAAAAAGCGAATTTATTTGACTACTGATAGACAGCCAACTGTCGATCCGAATTGAAAATCGATGATGGTATGTTTTAGCAAGAATGTGAGGTGTGTGGATGTAAGTGAAGAGAAAATCCACACCCGCAGATGTCTTAACGGTGTTGAAGTATAGCTTCCTCGATAGAATATGCGGTGATGACTAACGGACTAGTAGAGTTGTCACTGGGGTGCTGCATGGGGCCTCATACGAAACCGTGCGACATTGATATACATTTTGTCTTGTATTTTTAGACGATGAATAACACTTATGAATTGATAGACACTGAGCGTAATGATGAACCACAAGTAGAAGTAATTGACGACGAAAATAAAGCAATTAATTTCGGTGAAGACTGTAATAAAATAAAACATGTTTGTGTTCTCAATATTGTTTCACGTTATACAGTTGAAGCTATTCATGACAATTCTTCAAGCGATTCGACAAGCGGCAACAATCACCAACCTGTAATAATGCTTCCACACGATGCTGAGCAAGTTTTGAAAGAGTTAGATCCAAATATTGATGTCCAAACTATATATCTAACCACAAATATAAGACAGAATATAGCTTCCATTCATCGATTAAAACATGAAATGGATGTATTTGTTAACTTGTACGATACTCTCGATGATGTGAGAATAAAAATAATTGAGTACATGCAAAACCAAGGCATCGCATTTTCTGGTTCCAGTCAAAATACTTACAATTGTTGCGCATAAATGCAAGACAATAACACATGCATAGACGTACATGTCGCAAAACACATGCATAGAAATACACTTTTGTAAATTTTTTAGCAAAACATAAGATACCGTGCATGACTCTTATCCTTGTAAATAATTGCATGGAATATTTTTGCGTATTTTTGCACGATATATGACTTGCATGCGAATGCCAAAGTGTTATTAGCGTGTATAAGCAAGATGACTAGAATTTTCCTAAATTTTGCATATCAATGTAAAAGGGTCGTATTTATAAAAACTACTGCTAAAATGACTCTGTGTCGACATACAAATTTCAACCATTTTGTCGTGTGCGTATTGCTCCACGCAAGAATATAGCTTTTTTTTCTTTTGGGTATATTTATTTAATTCCCATTGAAATGAAATCGCTCTCATATATCCGCACTATCTTAGCTTCAAAACCTTATTTAATTTTTCGAAGTCATCTACAGTTATTAGCATTCCTATTTATAGTACTTAGTAGTTATCAGATGGTCATTATGTCCTTCAGTCTTAATGGCACTTCTAATGTAAGCAGATGGCCAAATGGTGAAGAAGTTCGCCTTATAAAATAAAGCATGTATGTTCGAATCTTATCTTTGAGCTCCCAGATTTTCTGTGTTTCGAATGCTTTTCTCTTGAGTTTTCATCTGTTTTTCTAAAATAACTGCCAAATTTCTATCATATGCAAATGGACATACATTCGGTAGACTGATCTTTAACAGCTGAACTGACTCAACAACTAGAACGACGTCATCGCTTATCGTTTTCGAAGTGTATGGCTTCAACGTCTGGCATCGCCTATTTTCACTAAAATTCATGTTGTTCTCGCAGTAAAAGCACTCATTACAATCTAAATGTATTATAGACAAGTTGTCGGAAACATGAAATCTTCTGGCGATGGCACATCTTATAGGTATTCTTGTCGACAATGTCATTATATCAGGACAAATTTTCTCGAAATGTGGAGAGCTGTAAAGAGAAGTCTGCAGATGTACGTTCTAATTTATGAATAGATGGTGATATCATGAGCAAAGATCAATAAGATTTTTTCTACTGAAATGAACCTGTCATATCACCATCTAATAACTTAATCTTCATTGACGCGTAGTGTTGCCGTTCTAAAATAAGGAAAAAAAATGAAGTATGGTTTATTTTTTATATAGACATAATTTACGAACAACAATCAACCATGAAAGTGATCATTTTACCGCCATTATTATCGGCTCTTACAAATGTTTATTTATATTGAATAAGCTTCAAGATATTAAACAAGTTCATCATTCGCCTGCTTACACTGAAACAGTTGCGTATGTATTAAAAAATTAATTTGTTGTTGTTCGTTTTCTTTTTCGGTGAATTATCAAATATAAAAAGCTTTTTATTATATTGATTAAATTGAATGTAGTTGATCTAATAAAATCACTTTTTTCGAAACGCAAAAAAAAGGCATGCAATCTCTCATTGTGATTTGATTTAACCAAGTATTTTTGAAAAAACAATAGTAATCCATCACATGTAAAAAATGCATAGCAACTAAATATTTTGAAACACATGTTCAGATTTCCTTGATACAAAGATCAATGTAATACAAGAATGATGCTTCTGTCGATAATAAGAACACACCTTCACATGTCTTGCAAGCAGATAACTCATAAATTATCAGAAAAACGATTTACTACAGTCTCCTCAATATTGTACAAAAGAAAAATTATTTATAGGAACGAGTTTCGAAATGAATTATCCACGTATATACATATACTGAAACGAAATTGACTTATATCACATGATTCTTTCATATGAAAATTTGCAGAGAAATGCTCTCGATTATGGAAACTCTAGATATGCAATTGGATAAAGTTCACACTGATTTCATTCGAATAACTAACATTGATGTATAACGTACATTCCTTTAAATATTTTTATTAAAACACGTTTTGATATTTTACATTTTTCCTTATTAAAATATACAAAAAAGCAGCCCAATGCGCTATTATATTTACTAAAAGTTATCTAACCTTCATCGATTTGTAAGTGAAAACAAATCAGTAAAGTCGTGTCAAAAAAAATGCAAATTATAATTTTTCATATTCTTATATATATACACCTTTCTTTTTCATAGAATACTCTTGAAAATAGAATATTTGCTATATTAAAAAAAAATACGCATGTACTTATCCGTATAGATAAGTAGTTAAAAAAGAAACAGAAAACGATAATGACATCTATTGATCTTTGTACAGTTCTAAATTTTTTTTTCTTTTTTCTCACATCGGTCAACGTCCATAAAACACATGTTGACCGAAGTGATAGAAAGAACAATTTTAGTACTCAACACACGTACGTGTATATGAAAGAATGAAAAAAAAAGAAAAAGAAAATGACATCTTCGAGAAAAGAAAAATCAGCAAACTGAACTCGTGCTGAATTTCATACAGGTGAGATAAAGATGAAAAATAAAACGTATATATGCCTTTCTATTATGACATCCATGATGAAAGACAAAAGAAAGTTTGTTTCTGTCGGGTAATCTCGATTACGGACAAGAAATAAAAAAGAAAATCCTACTAATGAGCATACGTGTTGAGATCATACTTTATATTTTTTTTCTTTCTCATTCAAAGCTTAAATTGTTCGAGGTTATGACATAAGTTCATATTTCTTATAAAAACCAATACATTTCTTTTCTTTTCTTTTTATTTGCTTTATGCATACATACACATTTATATATATATATATATATATAAGTTTTTTTTTGTTCAGATCATTTATTCGTTTTAATAGTACATTACATGAATCGATTGTTGGGCAACAAACGACGAGCATCATTTGATGTTAATCAACGTCCATCGTCATTTAAAGTTTATTATTTAGGAAATGTAGCAACATCATTAACAAGAGGTGATGGTTGTGCTGATCGACCAGCCAAAATTCTTTGGGATATGCATATAAAAAACCAAGGACGTTTAGGAAGAAAGCTTCGTTTAACGGTTACAAATGGTGGTTTACAAGCAGACAATTATATAAAAACAGGAACACCAAATGATACTACACTTTATTGTACAAATCGTATTGCATATTATCTTATTGCTGATAAACTTAATCCAAAAATGTTTATTTGGGTTTATAGACATGTTAATGTTCGATCAGGTTTAACGACTGAGGTGAGATGAAAGTTATAAAAATATATGTCCTTCAAATTCTTTTTTCTTTCTTTTTTAGCTTCGTTGTCATGCATGTTTATGTTCGAGTGAAAATGATGCTAAATCTCTTAGTGATTTACTTCATCATCATTTACAAGATTCTTTACGTGAATATGTACGTGAAAAGCATCGTCGTCAAATAAGTCGATTATCCGTAATATCATCATTAAATTTACCAAATCTAACCAATACAGATAAAACAATGAATGAACCACCTAAACGTTTATTGACTCGAAGTCAGGCATCGAATTATCGACCATCATTAGCTCGATCAATGTCAAATATTGGTCTTGGACGTATGGATGATATTGAAGAGAATGATGATGAACTAGCCAGTGAAGCAACAACAACAATGTCAACATCATCAACATCATCTATTGATTTAATCACATCGAAATTGACTGATTTAGATACAGATAGAAAAATGAAATTGTATGCACATGCGCTATCTGATATTCTGTGAGAATAAATCTATGGGGGAAAGGAAAAACATGTATATATATATATATATATATATATATATATATATATATATATATAAATATTGGCAATCTCATTATCTTTTTTTTTTGTTCTGTAATTAATTATATAGAAACTTAATCAACAATATAACTACGCCAAAATTTTCATTTGATCGGCGAGAACAAACATTCAAATCGTGCGCACACAGTCAACATTTTTTCTCTTTTGTACATATATATATATATGTATATATATATAACAGTGAAGGATGATAAAATGAACTGAATGTTTTATTCATTTTCTTCCTTTTTTTTCTTCTTCCTCTTCTGCATTTATTGAACTTTGTTCTGTGTGCAACAAACATCCCTATCTGACTCTCAATAGATAGGCGTACGCGGATGTGAACACACATGCGTTTTTTTTTCCTTTTTTTTAATGCTACTAGTCTACGATGCTAATGGTAGGAGCATAGAATATGTTTTTCTCTTTTTTTTTATTGTAGAAGAAAAATAAAGTAGTATGCAAGGTACATTTCGATATCCTGATGGATCTGAATACACAGGTAAAATTAAAAAAAAAAACTTAAACGATAAAAAAAGATTTTTTTTTCTAATAATTAAAAATATAAAAAAATCAACAGGCGAATGGAATGAAGATGGTCAACGACATGGCCTTGGCCAATTAACATTTAGTGATCAAGCGAAATATCGTGGTCGATTTGAAAATGGTCTTTTTTCTGGTCTTGGTTCAATATCTTATCCTGACGGATCAAAGTAATAATTTAACAAAACAAAATAAGAACAAAAAAAACAATCTTATTTTCATTTAGATATGATGGTGAATTTTCTCAAGGTCGTTATCATGGTTTAGGTGTATTTACACGTTGTGATGGAATGAAATATGAAGGACAATTACATGAAGGAAAAATTTTTGGTTTAGGTCTTTTAACATTTGCTGATGGTTCACATGGTTTACCACGAAATGAAGGACATTTTGAAAATAATAAATTAGTACGACGTGAAAAATGTCCTGATACTATACGTAAAGCTATAGCATGTGCTGAACGTGCAAAATCTCAACATATTTAAATCTATCTTTTTGCTTTGAAATTTTTCTCTTTCGTGCAATAAATTTTTCAAAAAAAATAAAATAAAAATATCAATGTTTATTTATATTATATCTACACTTAATTATTGCTGTCCTTGTTTAATAACAAAGATGCAATCATGCGTATAGTCTATGTAGGTGTATGATTCAAGTCTGTATAAATTATCTGACATCGAATAAAAGTGTCTCATTTGAAATAATTTTATAAATATGCTATCTGGTTTACATTCTTTACCAAAAAACTCATCATTTGATGGAACAACTCATTCACGATTACGAAAAAATAGTAAAACTTCATCTGAAGAAGAATCTTCTCAAAAATTAACTAAAATGTTAAATGGTAAACTTAATAAACAAGAAAGATTCGTTAGTGAATATGATAATATCTTAAAAAGACGTAGTCAACTGGAATCAGCTCATGATATTTTCATTCAACGACTCCTTCGAGGTAAAATAACCTCTTTTTTTTTCTTTATACCCTGAATGCGAGGCCGTTTCTTATCGATTTTTTATTGTGTACGAAAAGAAAGAAGGACAAATGTTTTACATAAATATACTCTACAGATATAATATTATCTCAGATTCAAAATGTTATCCATATGTTCCACACAAAATTCTAACGAATTTCTAGAAGCAACATCGACTAGACGACAACAACGACAACAACGACAGCAGCAACAACAACAACAACAACAACAACAACAACAACAACAACGATTATCTACTACAAGTAGTAACAATTCGTAAGTAGAAAATAAAGAAAAAAAAAATATGAATAATTCTATTAAAGAATTTATTTTGCAGATATGATGCAGATAGAGTATTCCGAGATGAAAATAATGATTGGCTTTTTGAAAAAATTTTACAAAAATTCGAAGATATTCGTTCAAAAAGACCTCATGAACCTATAAGATCTCAGTAAATGTTTTTAGATATGATTCTTTAAATATTAAGAAAAAAAAAAATCTTTTTTTCTTTATTAGATCACATGATGTTGTTTATGGGGTTGAACGTATTGTTGAACGACGTTATTATGTTAAAAAACCAAAAGCAGTATCAAAACGTAATCAAATAACATCAACAGATGATTTTAAAGAATATGAAAGAAAAATTCGACAATTATCAGGTGAATCATCAGTAACAGAAGCAACAACAGTAACAACAGCAACATCATATTCTCAATGTTCATCATCAACACCAACATATGTTGAAAGTCTTCGTAATCAATCAGTTTTACTTCGAGATGAAATAAGTGAATTAAAAGATGAAATTCAACAACTTCAAACATCTCAAAAAGAATTTTTTGAACAACTTAAATTACAATCTCAATCAAGCATAAATTCTACAACAGCATCACAAAATTTAGGTAAATATTATTTTTCTCTTTTAATTTCTATCTATTCTTCATTTAGTTCGACAAAATGTTGTACCATCTAAACCATCATCAGAAAAAAAACCATTATTTGTAAATGTACCATTACCTTCAACTAATGGTCAACGGTCTCGTTCGGTTTCAACTGAATCTATAATGACATCCTCAAGAGAAACTACTCCAAATTCTGAATTGACTCTTGAATCTACTAGCAAACCTATTCTTTCTGTAAGATTTTATTATTATTTTTTTATTTCTTTATTTAAAAAATTTTGGTAAAAAAAAAAAAGGAAAAAGAACGTATAACACTTTTAAATAATAATTCAAAATTGATATTGATTAGAATTAATTGAATATTCCATTCAATAAATATCTTTCATCATAAATTTCATTTTTCAATTATATTATAAATGCTTGATAAATATTTTTATTTCTTTTAGTCATTGAATGCAACTGTTACACCAGCACTAACAATATCTGAATTTATTGCAACGAAAAATTCATCAATTCCACCAATACCACCAGTAAATGCACGCGTCAATTCAAAAACTTCATTAGCTAAATCAGCATCATCAATTTCTGAATTTATTGTAACAAAAAATCCATCCATTGTATCACCAGTACCAGTGAATGTATATATCGGCTCAAAACCTCCATCAGTACCATCATCAATGACTACATATACTGGTTCAAAACTTCCATCAATTGCATCAACACCACCAGTAAACACACGCATCAGTTCAAAATCTTCATCAATTGCATCAACACCACGAATTTCTGAATTTATCGAACCGAGAAATGCAGCCTTTGCATCAACATCAACAATGAATGAATACGTCAGTTCAAAACCTCCATCAGTACCATCGACAACGCCAGTAAACGCACGTGTCAGTTCAAGACCTTCATCAACTGCATCAACACCACGAATTTCTGAATTTATCGAAACGAAAAAT